AAACTAGATCTAGATCTACATTGAGAAATCGAGAAATAGAGATGAAAATTACCTCTAATAAGCTTCGATTTCCTCTCGAATGAGCTCTAGAAAGCTTCGATTTGCTCTCCAATTACGTCTAAAAGCTTCGATTTCGTTMCTAAGYAGATGAAAAGTGBCGATGGCYTTTAGGTTTTGMYAGAGAGAAGATTCAGAGCGTTCTTTTGTTCCAGGGGTAAATTTGTCCTTTCCGGATAAAATCGTGGCATTTTTGTAAAACGCCCAGCGCGTGTGGCAATTTTGCAAACTGTTGACCTATTTGTGGCATTTTTGTGATTCCCCTTTATTTTTTCACATACTTATTAGTTATAAAATTATAATAGGGCTTGTCTTCTTCCATATCACACAAAATCAGTAATTTTATTAATAACCTTTATACAAAGAAAGGTATGAGTCCAACTTCAAAGACTATAGTAACAGAGTGATGACAAACTCAAGTCTAATGTCTTATGAACTCAAGTTACATGTGTTGTTGAATGGTTTTGAGTGTGACCAGAGAAATCATCAGTACCTAAAGACACAAATCCATTCAATGTAATATCAAAAACTTGTTTCAGAACCAAAAATGATCAGTTTATAGAACACACCATAAGAGATCATTTACCTCTCTGAAGAAGCAACTTGGAACCCGCGTAAGAGAATAACAGAACAGCATTCCGATAGCTTAGCTCCCCAAGTTCTTCGTTCTTCATGTCCAACAACCGCGCTACATACCCAAGTACCTGTACCAATAAGGGTCTTAATTTTCCATGGATCTTTCAGGAAGTATCAGTTAAACAGTCATGAAGCGAGAACATACGGTATGAATATTAGCAGGGTGATTAAGTGTTTCCTTTGGTAACTTCATCAAGTTAAAATCTTGATCCGGAACTGAATTTCCTACTTCGGGTACAGAAGGATCTCCTTCGACAAAGTAGAGACAGCTTGCCTCCGCCTTTGGTAATGCATCGGGTGAATCAGTTTCCAACAAGATCCTATCGGAAGGAACCTACAAAAAAATTGAAATCAAGATTCCATTTCCCTAAATAAAGCTGTAATTTGGTGTAGAGATACATCGAACTCTTACCGCTTTCAACATCTTCTTGGCTTTTTTCTCATTCATGTGCATAAGAAAACCAGAGAAGGAGAAATATGCACCGAGCTTAGCAAATTCAGGAACCATCTCAGCAGAACCCAAATACGAGTGAAGGATGACCCCAGCAGGAAATGGCCCCACAGATCTGCACATTACGGAATTACATCACATTACATAAGAACACAACTTTAGCAAGACTTAAGAATATAAAGCTAACAACTTCGCTTTTGCTTCGGTACATACGACTGGAAGCAAAAGTTTCATACTTTATTATCTCGAGCAGATCCCCGAATGCACGGACACAATGAACTGATGCGGGTTTATTCAGTTCCTTTGCAAGTTCGAGCTGCTGACGAAACACTCCCACCTGAAATAAAAAAAAATTACAGTCTTTAGCATCAAAGCAACTCAAAAAGAACACAAACCATTTAAGTAGGAGACTTTTAGTTCAATCTCAAAAACCTGATCTGAGAAATCAATCTCCCTTCCTTTAGACCCTTTGTCCAAACCAATCTGTAATATAGCAACCAACAGAAATCACAGATTCAACAACAATTTCAAGAGGCACAAAAAGTACATAAAAGATGATAAAAAGAGAGAAAGAGACAGACTTCTCCAACAGCAGCAGTAGGAGTGGTCTCAAACAAACTCTTCAATGTCTCAAACCAATTAGGACCCCTCTCTGCTACATACCTGAAACGACAAACACTCAAAAAGCCTTAAACTTTAACCACAAACATTCCAAAAATACCTTAAATTTTGAAAATTTACCAGTAACTGTTATAGATAGATTAGATACAAATCGTACCATGGATGGATCCCAAAACAGGGAACAACAGAAGGGTATGTCTCTCCCATCTCTTTGACCAAATCCCAATCTTTCTAGACCAAATCAAACGAAACCCAGATTCAATTAAAAAAAACTCTTAAATGTGTGTATTAAGCTATCAATTTGACACAAAAAAAGAAAAAAACAAACCTCGGAGACTCCATTGACGGCGAAGAAAGAGACGCCGGAAGCTACGGCGGAAGAGATGAGCTGAGGAGCTTTGGAGATAATCTTTGGGTCTTGAAGATGACAGTGCGCGTCGAACAGTTTCATCATCTTCGTAATGCTTCTTCTTCAGAATATTTTGTGTTCTTCTTCCAATTTTTTTTGTTTCCCGGATAATTTAGTATAAACTCTAGAATCCCCCCCCCCCCCCCAAAACTATATAAATATCACGCTAATACTCGTAAGCTTTTTAAATGTGCCAATTAAAACCCTATATACCTCGAACTTTATTTGTTTCTTTGAGAAATTTAATTCCCAAACCTCTTTTAGATTTCGGCCTTCATACTTCACTCTCATATTAAGGTCGAAACCATACCATAGAAATACAACTCATGACCTCTCTATTTCCAAAATGCTTTTTTTTTAGTTTAAAAGCTGACATCCAAAAGTGTGTTATACTCACAATGGCTGATTGAAGAAGTTGAAGTCTACATGCGAATAATAGGTATCAAGCTATTCAAGAGCTTATGCTCACATTCTGATGGTAAAATGACTAACTTTCGACATGTGTGACGGGAAGTTTCAATGTGTGCTAAACCATACCATAACTATTTTCTTTTTTTTTCCAGTTTTATAACAAAATTATAAAATCGCAACAAATACATACGTTGACCAAGTCAAACCCGTATATAATGATGAGTCAGCAATCTGAGCCAGCTGCCACGTCAGCCGAATCACCTACAATGATCGAGTCAGCTGCTAGGTATTTGCGACATAACCCATTTTTAAAAATAAAATGAACGATATGTTATCTATATTTACTTTTTTGTCTAATCTTTTATTCATTCATTAATCTTAGCCTTCTCACTA